TAAGCATCCAGGCGCTTCTAGTGAAGAAACGTGGCGCACACCAAGTGACCCGTTTCCAATGGAAATAACACAAGTCGCCCCCCGCGATGATGATCCGGACTACATACCTATCGAACAGGCCGTAAGTGATGAAAATCGTTAGCCATGTATTATTCCCTAACTATGATGTGACATGAACCTAATGGTGTATAGAGTTACCTATTCTGTGCAGATGGTAGTCCGACGCCGCTCGAAACGTAAAGCCGGGAGGAACAGGACAGAGCAAGAAGTTGAGATGGACACCGCTACGTCTGCACCTGAACGTACGGAGACATCTACAAGTGCAGGCGGGAGTGGGAAAAAAAGACGTGGTGAGAGAAGCAAGAATAAATTACCCAAGGAAACTTACAACGTGATTGCTCTCGATCAGGATGGGAAGCCCATCGAGCCACCGATAGTGCGGTCCAAGTTCAGCAACGCCTGTGGCACTCTAGTCAGGACGCGTTGTCCCATTAATGTCAAGTTGTGGGAAACAGTGGACGACAACATCAAGACACTTCTCTGGAATGAGTTGCAGAAGTATTTTGTGTTCCCTCCTGGATCAGAGGTCAGGGGGAGAGATTACGCACTTAAAAAGATGGGAGATCGATGGCGACAGTGGAAGTCCGATCTAAATCGGGATTATGTTCAGAAGAATCTCCCACCGTTTACGGATTATGGACATATATCGCAGGCTGACTGGGACACGTTTGTTGCGGATCGTACAACAGCTGAAGCATTGGCTTTGAGGAAAAAAATGTCCGAGCTCGCGAAGAAGAACAAATATCCCCATAGATTGGGGTCGAGCGGATACGCTGGTCACGTCGATCAATGGCGGGAGATCGAGCAAAGATTTGCCGCGGCCGGTAAGCCCCTGCTGGTAGACCCCATGGTTGAACGTAGCAAGAACTGGGTTTGGGCGCGCAGCACAGGTCAAGTCTCGGATGAGGGAGACATACTATTCGAGACTCCAGACATAGAAGAAGTGACTACTAATTTGCAGCAGATAGTCGAGAAAGAAAGATCAGGACAGTTCGTCCCACGGAGGGAGAGAGATCAGCTTACTGCGGCGTTGGGGACGGCTGAACACTCTGGACGTGTAAGGGGTTTGTCCTCAAAGACAAGTTGGAAGGTCGGGTTTCCACAAGACGCACCAAGTTATAAGAAGAGAGACAAATACAAAGAACAACTATCGGACAAGATCTATGCGCAAGTGAAGGAACACTTCTACTCGTTGGCAGCTGAAAACCCGACAGCATTTCCAAGGTTATTCCCTGATAGCCAGCAACCCACACAATCCGCACAGCAAACAACTAATGTACCCAGCAGTGTAGGCTCAGTGCAGACAAGTACCTTCCCTGTGGATAGTATAACTGGACCAACTCCGTGCAGTCTCGTCGTACCAATCGGCCGCGCTGGAAAGACTAAGGAGGTTGCAACGGGTTTAGCGATACCCGGACGTCAATTCCACAACACGGCAATCCCTGAGGATTACGCAAGGGTACAGGTCGCCAAGGTCCATAGCGACCACGTTTCCTTGGAACTAGACATACCTGCACCTGAGGGGATTGAACTTCTCGGTGATGCAGTGAATCAGTTTATCTTGTGGCACCGCAGAGACATAATCCTGAGCGCGGCCGTTCTTGCAGCAGGATCTTCAACCCCATCCTCATCGCAGGCAATGACTGCTGCCGCTCCTGCACCACCGTCGCCTCCTGAACCACCGTCACCTCGACATCCGCCGTCACCACCACCGCTTAGGTCACCGCCTCGCCAACCTACACCACCACCCTCCCCTTCTCAACAACCGCCTCTCCCGACCCCGCAACCAGTTCAAGCCTCTCCCACCTCCCCAACTAAACAGCATGCTCCCCCGGCTCCGCCCTCAGTTCAAACCTCTCCACCTACACCCCAATCTGCTCTGGTAGAAGAAGTGCACATACCAGATGGTACTACATCCGAACCAAAGTCTAATACTTTGGAACCTCGTCGTATAATTCCAAAGTTGATATCGACATACGACCCAAAGGAGATTGACAAGGATAAGGAGAAGTTCATGTTTTCAGCTTTCAGGAATTCTGAGAAGAGAAAAGAACTTGCTCACGTCTTGTCAGACTCCCAGAAGTCAGTACTAGCGGCCCAAGATGAAGTGCAATCCTGGTTATCTGCCGATGTGCCTGAAACTTATGAGTATGGCAAGCCATTCTTGCCAACTTATCTTATGAACAAGCTACCATGGGAAATGAGGGTAATGCACGAATGGTATATGAAGGCATCTAGGAAAGGTCTCGGTTTCATAAGCGTCGCCGTCCCGGAAGGCGCTTTCATGAGTGGTCCTAATGGGATATTTTTTATCTCTTTCCAAGACCTTTACGCCCTCTACAAGCTAGATAAAATGGACGTTAATCTCGTTGCGGCTTTCTGTCTGTAAGTCTAAACTCTTTATTACATGTTGCACGTTTCATTCGAAACAAATAAACCAAATCTCATTTCTTCTTTATTCATTGTACAGTATGCAATTCCACGAAGCTGATAGAACTGGAGCAAAGGTTGGATACGTCGATCCAACAAGAATATGCAAAACACAACACACCGTAGAGCTGAGACAGGACTGCGAGCAATTGGTTGGCAAGACCCCGGAAGAAAAGGAAGAATATGTGAAGACATTGCACAAGAGGAAGAAGCTAGAAGTAGCAACATACTTGGCAATAGCAATGTTGGCGCACGCCGACAAAGATGTCTTAATGGTCCCCTACCAGTTCACGTAAGCTCTCTCTTCTTTTTGTTTAATTAATTTATCTTCTTCGGAATTTTCTGTCTCCAATAAGCCTATCTTATATGTAGAGACCACTACATATTATTCCTTGTATATCCGAAAGACCAATTGATCATATCATTGGACCCCGCACACTATGACAAGGAGACATTTATGGAATTCCTCACTATTTTGAATTTGTAAGTGATAAACATTTCATTACTATAAATTGTTTAGGTCGATCACCAGTCTTCTAACTACTAATAAAACAATTGTTTCCTTCAAACAGAGCACACAAGTACTACCGCAAAAGAGGTGGACCAGTACATATTCCATCCCAGAAGAAGTTATCCGTCAGGACTGGCTGGCCGGTACTATCAAATTTATACCAATACAACTAATTATCGAATAGTACATATATACTAAATATATCTACTGAGATCGGTCCCCATAATTATATCGCAGTGCTACAAACAACCACCAGGAACCAACTTGTGTGGTTATTACGTGTGCGAGATGCTCAGAGTAAATGGGAGGTACAAAACAACCAGTAACCGAGTAGGTCATCGAACTCTTCTCTACAAAGAAACCCATCTCGCACACACTTCTCACTGAGTACCGTTTTATTTTCCTTTCTGTGTGCAGATCCCCGAAATCCCATATATTGCACAACGATTCAACCACACTACTATCTTGAACGTGGCCGCTGACCTCTGCCGATTCATCCGTCGCGATGTCTGCAACGCAAGAGGTCTCTTCTACGACAACCAGAGTGAACTCGCAATGGACGACAAATTTAAACCTCTCAGAGAGTGGGAGAAAGAACATATGCAATAACATGTACACTACTTATACATATGATGAAAAAACTGTGCCACTTGTATTATATATTTGTATGTAAATTACGATTGAATTAATGGTTATGTATTACATGTTTGTTACTGCGGCACTTGTCTTATCTTATATGCTTACTACTCCGAAATACGATAATAAATCCCTCAATAATTTAATATTAATTACGAATCACCAAAATGCTAGAATAAATATTATTTTAGCTATTCGGAAATTGAATTTCGCATGCGGTCTACTTAAGACGCCCGCATGCGAAAATAGATCTTCGCATGCGGTCTTCTTAGGTCGACCGCATGGGAAAATATATCTTCGCATGCGGCTTCTTATATGGACCGCATGCGAAGATCTATTTTCGCATGCGGCCGTCTTAAGTGACCGCATGCGAAGATCAATCTTCGCATGCGGCTGCGACGGCCGCATGCGCAAATGGTGATCTTTGCAGACCATTTCGCGCATGCGGGCCGGCCAACCGCATGTGAAGATTGATTCCGCCCGTATGCAAAAACGCTTTCTGTAGTAGTGCACAGACCCGAAGCTCTCACCTCCTATCGCGATATTATCGCTCTCTCAAATTCTTATCCTACGGTTATTTTAAAACCGCTCTATCGTTTCGAACTCGATAATTCCCTCGAATATCTACAAACGATAGAGGTATTTATTTATCGTACGTTGATTCGAATATCTCCGATTTTATTCCTACCGCGATGATTGGATTTGTATGCCACGAGTCGTCCCTAAGACCCCTTTTGCTTTAGTGTCATTCGTTCGTGCAAAGCGCTCACAAACAAATCCTACGACGACCGATGAATCCGTTTATCGGGCGTTGATCCCAAATTTCTATGAGAGAATCCATTATTTACCACTGACTTTATCACACGTCTACGATTTGCCACTGACTTTATCATGTTCTACAATATGCCATCGACTTTTGCTTAACTTCTACAATTTACCATCGCCGTCCGGTTAGTCTCCGTTAGTACTGTACAAATTTGTCAAAATGACCAAAATACCCCTGGGAGAAAAGGTTTCAAAATTTGGATAAAAATTATGAAATATCATATTTCAAGTTTTTGGTCAAATTTTGGATGTTTACAATCTTATGTTTATAATATAATATTTTGATAATTTTATCCAAATTTTGGGAGTTTTTGTCATAGGGGTATTTTGGTCATTTCGACAAATTTGTACAGTCCTAACGGTGGCTAACCGGACGGTGATGGTAAATCGTAGAAGTTAAGCAAAAGTCGATGGCATATTGTAGAACGTGACAAAGTCAGTGGCAAATCGTAGACGTGCGACAAAGTCAGTGGCATATCATGGATTATCTCAATTTGAATTTGGTAACACGGTGTAACCATCCAAGTAAAATGCAGAAAAACTCAATATTAAATTCCAATTCCAAATGTCCACGTATACAGGCCATATTTGACAATACAAGCACACAGTCAAATATACAGAATCAAATTAAATGTCCAAATTATACAGTCCCATTACAATTACACAGTCCATTTATAAATGTACAATCCATCGTAAGTCCAAATTAAATACAGAGCCAGGATAAATGTCCCATTTAACAGTTCAATTACAATTCTACCGTCCATGTACATGTTCGAATACATATATCACCCCTATTCCAATCCATGCAAATTACAAAAGCTCCTATTACACTTGGGCCATTCCTCTCTCTTCCAACCCAGCCCATTCCTCACAGCAAGTCTATGTTTACGCCCTCTACATGCCAGCCCACTCCCTCTCTTCTTCTCAGCCCAAAAGTTTACTTTGCGTCCCTCAGCCAACACAGCATGCATGCACAGTAGGTGTTCGATGAATGCTTACAAGCCGGCACACACATTCGAGTGAGGGTGTTGCTGCCATCAAGTGCCTGGGACCCCTCCCAACAACATTCCAACAACCATCCATGCACCCCTGCTCCCAGCCCATCAAAAACATCCCCAGAACACAAGCCAACACATGCAACAGTGAGAAGAGAGTCCACATCGAATGAAGAACCGAGTTCACAGGGATATGCCCACCAAAGGAAGTTGCATGGCTTGCCTCCAGCAGTCTTAGGGATGGCAACGGGTTGGGTCGGGCACGGGCAGAGCGAAACCATGCCCGACCCGAGATCCACGTGCCAGTGCCCGACCCACGCCCGCAAAGCCTATCGGGCAAAACCCCATACCCGTGTCCATGCCCGACGGGTACTCATCGGCGGCCATCGGGCTTGCTTGCCGTGCGCCGCCGTGTCGCCAACCACCGCCACGCCGCCAGCCGCCGCCGTGCACAATCGTGTCGCCGGCCTCCGCTCGTGCCGTCGTGTCGCCAACCGCCGCCCCTGCCGTGCGCCGACACGCCACCGGCCGCCGCCTGTGCGCCGCCGCTTCGCTGGCCTCCACCCGCGCTAATGCGCCGCTGTGTCGCCAGCTGTCGAGCGATGGTGGAGGAGGAGGCCGGCGGCGACAAGGAAGGGAGGAAGCGGAGCTCAACGGTGGTGACGAGTCGGACTCCCGCCGTCGCTGCTGGCGCGCCGCACATCGCCCGAGTCCGTCTTGGCGCCAGGCTCGACGCGTCGCCCTCAGATCCATCGCCGTCGCATGCTTCCGCCGTCGTCCTTAGAGCCAACCTGCGCCGCCGCTGGGATTGGAATAGGAAAGGGGATTGGAATAGGTTAGGGTTTCTAGTATATATATGTCCATGGTTAGTGGGCCAAATGGGCTAAAAGAAAGGGGTATGAGGAATAAGAGATGGGCCAAAATTAGCTCATACATATGTACCAGGTCGGGTATGGATTACCCATGGACAAAAAACAATACCCAGTTGTTGCCCGCGATGTTCTCGGGTCTCGGGCGGGCGTGCCCACGGGCAAAATATTACACCCATGCCCGTGCCCATTGGGCCGGGTATCCACGGATACCCGGACCTACGGTCAAAATTACCATCCCTACAGCAGTCCAACAGCCATCAAACATATATAAACCGCCACCAAAACTCAGCCCCCCTTGCACCTCTTCATTTCTTTCTCCCTCTTTTTCTCCTCCTCGCACTGTCTTGTGTTGGTATTTCTTAACGACATTACTAGAAATATTCATTCCCAGCAATGGCGCCTTGCACCTCTCCATTTCGTTCTCCCTCTTTTTCTCCTCCTCGCGCTGCCTTGTGTTGGTATTTAATGACATTACTAGAAATATTCATTCCCAACAATGGCGCAGAAATAGTCCTGGTATATTTATTGTTAGATATACCATTGTAGTATTTCACCCAGAAGTATTCCAAGGTAACATATTTGTTTAATTCCAAAGGAAGATTGTGAAAGAGAGAACCTTGCCAAGCTATACATATTACTTGCATTCATTAAAGTCTAAACATGGATTAATTCAATATGTGGGTAGAGTGACACGAAGTGAATCTTATAGAATTCCTCATGAGAATAATTCTAACTAAGTGAGATAAGAAATAGAAAGAACTCAATTCCTATACTTTTAATATACACTCAAACTTTACTCTACATTTGCTAGTATATTATCATGTGGTCAATACCCCATAACAGTGTCCTCCTGTTGTTTCGAGAGACCACCCCGGGTTGCCGAGTTCCTTACGACAACCTGTCATGACCGTCCAACCGGGGCTAAATACGGAGGAGTACCCTCCCCAGGAATTTGTCTTAGGAATGTATACTAACATGGAGGAATACCCGTACTGAGCTGTCACCATCAACGGCCCATCTACTATCCTGCCTGCAGTATATATGCCCAATTAATGATATTTACTATCCTAAGCATCATGCTTACATTAATAAATACTACTCTACATCTCTGCAGATGACACAGAGTAACTGACGAATTAGACATTAAACCCACGCCATTGCATCTCTCTGGTAGGCTACCCACACAATTATACCGATACGAATGTAAAGTAAGAGCAGAACTTATACTAAATAGAATACCGAGAATATAATAAGAGTAGTATTTCATTAATTCGGAAAGTATTACAGAAGAGAATAGAAAAGCTACTAGAGCCATACCGAAACTCTTCCGAGGACTCAGAGAACTATTCTATACTACTTCCACTTAGCTCTAAACTACTAATACAAAGTATGAGAGGAATCTTAAAGCTTACTTGAGTGTGTTGAGAAGTGAAGTGAGCTCCTTCTTTTATAGGGTTGGTATAACGGTTGTAGACAAGGTGAAATGACCTTCTTGCCCCTTAACCATCATTGAGAGTGCATCTGGCGCGAACACGTGGAGGGCCAGGCTGATTGGGCTCCACCAGGGTTCCGGCGAACTCCTAGTTCGGACGAACCTAGGCTAGCCCAACAGGCCTCCAGCTTCGGTACAATCTCTAACAGGTGGGTCCTATTGATGGTTTTAACAGTTAAAGCGGTTTCCAGGCCGGTTACACCTGACTTGTGGGCCCTCTTATCCATAAGCTTGCTTAGGAGTGAGATTTTCTTTATTTTCTCTTTATTTTATTGCTCAATTCCTACAACATGTTATTCTCTAAGCACAAGTGGAACTATATTATTCTGAAGTAAATACGCATTGCAAGCATAGTTAATTCTATATTATTTTAGCTATATTGACGGTTGAAATTTGTATGTAATGACCGTCAACACCTTGCCACTGCCACTGCCATCCTCCTCTCTGCGCATTCGCAGCCGCTTCGCCGCTTGCTCCGCCGCGGCTGGCCACGAGCTGAGCCGAGCCTCGGTTGGGCAAGGGGTTGAGGTTGGCCGCCGCGCCGTCCCGTTGATTCCCTTGCACGATCAAACGATCGAACGATGAACGATTGAACTTAACCAAAACTTGCGAATGAACTCAAACCTTGGACGTAATCAACTACTCCCTCCATTCCTAAATATTTGACGCCGTTGACTTTTTTAAACATGTTTGACTATTCGTCTTATTCAGAAAAATTTAAGTAATTATTAACTTTTTTATCATTTGATTCATTGTTAAATATACTTTTATATGTACATATAGTTTTACATATTTTACATAAATTTTTGAATAAAATTTTAAGTAATTATTAACTTTTTTATCATTTGATTCATTGTTAAATATACTTTTATATGTAAATATAGTTTTACATATTTTACATAAATTTTTGAATAAAACGAATAGTCAAACATGCTTAAAAAGTCAACGGCATCAAATATTTAGGTTGGAGGGAGTAAAACGCAAACTAAAGTTGAAAACTAACCTCTATAGACCTTGGTCAAACACTTGGCGTGCGAGCACGAACCGCGAGCCGACCATCGACGCCCGTCGACCACGCACGGTGTGCCGCTACCCGGCTGCCGCAAGATGCGCATTCCATCCTTCCTCTTCCCTTCCCTTATTTTCTTCCCTTCTCTCTGTTCTTGATTTTGCTGTCATGGCGCGATGCCGCCGTCGTGCGCACCGTCGTCTCCTCCTTGCGCGGCCGGCGTCTAGCCGACCCGCGCACTGCTCTTCCTCTGGCTCCCCCTACTCCGTCGCCCCGGCCGGCACTGAGCCGAGAACGCGCCCGCGTCGCGCGTCGTCTCTGCCTCGGCCGCGCCGAGCCGTGCACCCGCGTCGGCCCTCCATTCCACTCCACCGCCGAGTCCTCCTCTCCCCCATCCACCGTTGCCTTCGTTCCTTCCTCGACCCGACACCGCGGCGCCCGGTTAAGCCGGCTCGATGCGGGCGCCGACCCGCGGAGCTCGCCGCCCCCTTCCATCCCGCACCAATCTCTCCACCTCGGCATCCTCCTCCACACCGCTGCCATCCTCCTCTCCCCAACTGCGGCAGTCTCCTCCGTCCCCCACCGCTTCTCTCCCGGCGCCGCGCCAAGCCACCGCCCCGCGACACGCCCGGCCGCCGCCGCCCGTGCCGATGCGCCCGGCCACGTCGCGCTCCCACAGCCGCCGGTCCCCCTCCTTCGCCCCCCCCCCCTCTCCACCACCGCCAGCCCTCCCTCCATCGCCGCCTCTCCCCCGCGCTGCCGCACCGCCAGGCTCGGCCGCCGCCAGCGCCTCCGCCCTCCCTCTCTCGCGGCGTGAGGAACAGAGAGGAAAAGAGGAACGAGAAAGGGATGAGGCAGAGGAGAGGAGACCGAGAGAAAGAGAGGAAAGAAAAGAAAAGAAGTGGGGCCCACTAATGGGACCCACATTCTAGGCTCTTGCTCCATGAGCTGTCTCCTTCTAAGGCTGCGTTCTTTTCAGCTGTTTTGTCCTCGTTTTCCGTTAGCACGCTTTTCAAACTACTAAACGGTGCATTTTTCTGTAAAAAGTTTCTATACGAAAGTTACTTAAAAAAATCATATTAGTCCATTTTTTTAAAAAAGAATAGCAGATACTTAATTAATCATGTGCTAATGGATCGCTCCGTTTTCCGTAATCACTGTTCACGGTGGAAAAGAACGCAGCCTAAGTCTATTTAAACTCCCTCTACTTCCCTGTCCAAGACCCAGACATCAGTCCTTACTAGAAAAAATGCGTGGCAAAAGCCACGCATGGTATAATGAGCCTAGGCCATTAGGCCTAGCGGGGTAACAAATCAATATATACTTCAAGTTAATTACGAACTTATTTTCTCTTATGTTTTGGGTTCTGAATAAATTTCTATTTCACATTATAAAACGTTTGGATTTTGAATAAATTCTTACATGCATCAATGTATGTGTATAAAATTTTTGAGGTTTTGAATAAATTTATGTTTTGTACTATAAGACGTTTTGGGTTTTGAATAATTTATACATGGATCAATATATGTGTTTCATATATGTGTCCAAATTTATATAAACATTAGTGAATCTAGACGGGAGATTGAAGAGCTTAAATACGAGAAAAGTGGTAATTAATCGAAGCTGTGCGTAGAAAGTAGGGAGTACGGACTACTGAATGTGCCAGTTCATGCATTGATCAGCATGCACCGGATGTTAGCATGATACATCCTATATGTATGTGTAATATCTTGTTTCATCCAGCATCTTCTTGTGCCATTGCACGGCCTGCTGAGCCATGGTCCATGGGCCTAATTGCTCCATCGATACATTTGCGAAGAAGCTTCTGGAATAAACTCCATCCGGTGGCCGGTGCACGCACGCATGCAAGAGCATTTCTAGATCGCTACACGCGCACGCGCAAGATCGTTTCGTCAAGCCTCTTCCGTGAAACCGGTGTTTCCACGTGGCACCATTCTCCTTGCGATCTTTTGCATCGAATTCGTATTATAAGATACAAAAGTCTATGAAACCTCCGTTGTCTTCCTCGGCCGAACCCGAGTGATTGATTCCTCTATAAAAGTCTATATAGTGCCCTTCATCTAACCTTCGGGAAGAGCCCACCATCGGCCCCCTTGTCCACTAAAGTCTATGTAATGTCCCTCTACAACCCAAACCCTCTCTAAAAGACTATAACACCTCCCCACCCGAGGAGTTTTTCCTCCTCGGTTTATAAATCCTTCCAAACTTCGAAAATCCATATATCTCAAACCGTACCTCTGATTAACTCCGTTCAACTTTCATAATCTCTATAAAATCGAGATCTATTTACTGGCACCATTAGATTGTATTGAATATTACTTTATTTTATTTTTACGATTGTGTGGGGTTATTCTTTGGCCGTTTATTGGACGTTTTGGATATTCTGGATATTTATCAAACACGGGTATTCTGGTTATTTTTAGCGATGCAGATTTCTCGAAGATATCAGCACCTAAAGCAAGGCAAGTCACTACACTCCCTTCCTTCAACATATTGAACCTATATTTATATATGTGTTGTGTGCAAATAAAATTGCATGCTAATTATAAAACTGCGTACCTACACTTGAATGAAAACCCCTCCTTGATCTTGTTGTCATTATGTTTACACAATCATCCATTGTGCCTGAGTCTATTTATTTATACGTCGTCAATTATTGACATCGCTTAGCATTGCTATTATAGACAATTGCACACTCCATAGTTCATCAAACGAGTGCAATTAAATTATTTTATGGTGGTTACGTAAGCAGTTAAGTATATTTAGCCCAGCTGAACCCAAAAGCGGTAAGTAGGTTCAGATGATGAAGTGGAAAAAGGAGCTCACATGTTGCAAGGATTAGTCTTCTCGACGAGGTCAACTGGGCAATGCACGGTTGATAATTAGATAAGACGTGGTGCTGCGATTGCAGGGTTCACATCGTGTTAATCGAAAGCTGGATCGTGTGTATCAAGTTTCCACCAAACCAAGAGTTATCAATATGTATCTAAAGATCGGGACCTACTTCATCATCACACGCTCCTTGCAGCGCACGGCGGCCTGCCCTCCCTTTGGCAGCATGGCGGCGGCGACCTCCCCTCGAGAACATATGGTTGCTGCGATGCCCCCCAAGCTCAACGATGGGATGACCAGATCCAGCCACAACGACCTTGGGGCAGTGGCATCCACCCCCTCCGATGAGCAGTGGCGTATACGTTGGCCTCGGCTCCGGTGTTTGGTGTTCACCTTTATCTCTGATGTGATTAACTTTTTTCGATAAATTTTATGCGTAATTTGGTGGGTTGATTTTGATTCATTGTCATCGTATTTGTAATTTTATGTACGTAATTCTTGGCTCAACGCATCGGCTCGATTCAAACTGATATACCGAGACGGCTTTTTTTTATTCTTGAACCTAAGAGGTGTTGGTTACTAAACCGGCACTTTTTATCCTCATCGGTGCAGCTATTGCCCAGTACAGTTTGATGAAAGCTTGCTCATAAGGATATATATCAGAGATAACAAGCTGATTACCACCGGTTATTTTAGATGAAAATGTAAAGAGTTAATTTCATAAAACTATAGATACTTTGTACAATCTATCACAAAACTACATATTTAAGAACTTGTTTCACAAAAATACGGATTAGTTTCTTCGTTTAACACAAAACTACAAATTTTAAAACTTGTTTCATAATACTACAGATTTAATATCTTTATTTATCACAAAACTACAGGTTTAGTGTCTCTATTATCACAAAACTACGGGTTTTAGCATGGTTAAAACCCGTAGTTTTGGGATAATGGAGACACTAAAACTGTAATTTTGTGATAAATGAAGAAACTAAATGTGTATTTCTGTGATAAACGAATACAATAAATCTATAGTTTTGTGAAACAATTTCTTAAATCTATAGTTTTGTGATAGATTATATAAAGTACTTGTAGTTTTGTGATAAACGGAGACACTAAATCTGTATTTTTGTGAAATAAGCTATTAAAACTATAGTTTTGTGATAAATTGTGTAAAATACCTGTAGTTTTATGAATTTTACTCAATACAAAATTTCAAAATTTGACCAGCAACCAGCCAAATTAACTCTAAAAATGAATACTACTCCCTCAATCTCAAAATGATCATTATATATGTTTATGCACCAAGATCAAGGATAATTCAAATCGCATCAATCAAAACATCATGTACACATTCTCCCACAATGCATGTATCGATTAAAACACCATACCAATTACACCCTAACATGCACACATTCTACTATGCCACGTTAATTGTATTCCGATGGAATCCGTGTCCATGCGGTTATATGATGATCAATTTGAAAAATTTTGGATTCCATTATATTATGATGAAGGAGGGAGTACCACATAAACTCTGAAGTTGTTACCGGTTTCAAAATCCTAATAATACTTTAAAATAATCATGAATTTAGGCCCACCCTATATGAAACTATTTCGCCTGAAATTTTAAGGAATGCTTTATTGTAAGTTTAGCAAAAGTTCTTCAAGTTTAACTAAACAAATGTTCAAATTATTCTGAAATTTCGGCTCAATCAGTGTCTTCCGATGGAAGCTTATAACTTCCGGTAATGGTTGGCTAGTAGTAGCCACTAGCCACTCAAAGAAGCATTCCCGACGTATTGGTCTAGGAGACCGTGCGCGATCCTGTCTCTCACCTGTTCGGCGGCGGGGGAGCGCACTGTATTGCCGCCACCGGCGACCACTCCGTCGTCGACGAGCTCGTCGTCCAGGAGATCGAGGAGGTCGGCATCGAGCCCATGGCCGCTGCGCTCGCAGAGGTTGTGCAGCACGCAGCAGGCGCCCAGCATGTTGGCTAGCTCCGGCAGCTTCACCTCGGCGCGCCGCAGGCACTGCCACCGCGCCCTGAGCCGCCGGAACGCACCCACCGCCGCCGCGCGCGCGTCGGCCACCCGCGCGTTGAGCCTGTCCTGCGCCCACGTCAGGTTCGGCTGCGTGTACGGCACCAGCATCCAGCTCGTCAGCGGGTAGCTCGCGCCGCCGACGAGCCACAGCGGCTGTTGCCACCCGAGCTTGTCGTGGCCGAGCAGAAGCCCAGCCTCGCACCGGGCGTACAGAGCCGACTTCGCGAGGATGGCAGCGTCGGACAGCGAGCCGGGGTGGCCGATGCAGACGTCGGTGAAGGCGCCGTCGGCGTCCACGACGGCCTGCATGGCGACGGAGTAGGTGGCCTTGTTGTTCCGGCCGGTGAGGCGGTGGTCGTAGTACTTGCCGGCGTGCTCCCTCGGCGCGACGATGCGGAAGTGCTCGGTGTGCACGGCGCCGACGACTCCAGGGATCCAAGACAAGGCCTGGAACCTGGACGCGGCGGCGGCGTGGGAGTCCGGCCACCGGACAACCCTGGTGAGGAGGACGGCGGTGATGGCGGCGCAGACCTGGACGATGATGTTGTGGCAGGTGGAGATGCCGAGGCCAAAGCGGCGGGACACCTCGCGGAGTGGGTCGCCGGTGGCGAGGCGCCAGAGGCAGACGGCGACGCGCTGCGGCACGGGGATGGCGGAGCGGAGCGTGGTGTCCACCTTGGCGACGGCGGCGGCCAGGTCGTCGCAGAGCTTGTCGAACACCGCGCGCGGCATGCGGAAGGCTCGCCGGAAGTCCGCCTCCGGGCAAGCCGCCGGGTCCCTCATGCGGTCCCACCACTCCGTGCTACGCTCCCGCACCCACACCCGCCGGCTACCTCGCCTTTCCGCCGTCGGCTCATTCCCCTCGCCGCCGCCGCCGCCGCCGCTGCCGTCGCGGTTGGACGGCGAGGTCGAATTCGTTGGCGCCTTCTTCCTTCTCTTAGACGACCGGGACACGACACACATGGCCTCGCCGTCGTTGGCATGGAAACTCCGCTTCCCACTGGCATCACCTCCGCCTGCCACCACCTCCGCCGGCGCCGGCGGCTGGTCAGCAAGAAAGTCGCCGTCCATGAGGGAGAAGTCGTCAGCGGCGAGCATGGATGTGTACTCAAAATCGGCATCGTCGGGGATTTCAAAGAGAGGAGTGGAGAAGGGCTCGAGCTCGAGGAAGGTGTTCATGGCGATGGGACATAACTCAACATTCAACGAGTGATTGTGTGGGCAAATGGCCAGCGGATGATCAGGCCTTTATATATACGTATGGGACTGTGTAAGCTGAGGCAGAATCCATGACGGAGGGAGTTGTTTATGTTATCTAGTTATAAATTTTTTTAAAAAAATTAACAAGATAGGTTAATATACGATAGGCCACTCCATAAATATGCAAGTTAAAATTTAACTCCTACAAGTTTAAAATAATTAAATTATGACTAGTTAACATATATTTACAACAAATTTGTTATTTCGCTGCAACTTGTAGAAGTTGAATTTAGCTTTGTATGTTTGTGAATTGATTTATCACATACTCCCTATGTCCTATAATATAAAAGATTTTGGAGGGATGTGACACTTTCTAGGACTATGGATCTGGACAGGATGTGACACTTCCTAGGATTATGGATCTGGACAGCTGTCCAGATCCGTGGTCCTAGGGAGTGTCGCATCCCTCTAAAATCCCTTATATTATGGGACGGAGCGAGTATTAATCTATCTTGTTGAATATTTATATTTTTTTTATAATTATCTAGATAACATGCAAATAACGAGGAGTTATAAGTTTAGAATAGCTTCCCACCCAATGGCTGCTTGGCGCACGGTATAGTACTAAACCAAGAAAATATCTAAGATGAGCAGGGCTGTTTCACATACATGTGGGAGCATCACACATAACGCGGCCCACGTGGGTGACGTAAGCGAGTGGAGCAGCAGCCAGCCACCTCGTACGTCCAGCCACATGTTTCTCGGCGATTCGCTCGTAGAGTTCGTTACGAACTCTCTTGTTTCTTTTGGTGGGAAAAGGGTTGTTTGATCGTTTGGCATTCACAGTGCAAGGACATTGCGCTCAGCCCCATGGTAAGAAACTGAATATTCGACACCACATCAACAATCCATGGCAAGAAACCGAATATTCGGCGCCGTGGATGAGGATCCGCCATCGGGGCCCCGTCAATGCCCGATCGCGTCCACGCCATAGGACCTATTGCCTCTATCGGATCTGCGTCCTAAGTCACAGCCGCCAATGGTTCCGTGGCTTCCGGGCATCGTCAACACCGAATCCACCACCACCAGATCCACGGCTTGCCATTGCCACTGGCCTCCTCCTGTCCCGCCACCGGATCCACCGCCCATATGCCTCCCATCGCCGATGCAATTGCTGTCGTAGAGAGCTGGCGCAACGAAGGTGGAGACGCTGAAGGGGAGGGAGATGGAGTGGTAAGGAAAAGGAAGGAGGAGAGAGGGAGCCAAGGGAAGGCAGAGGGTTACACTACTACAAAACCCCTCATAGGTATTGGTTCATAGGTAAATCCGGCACCTATGAACTTGTTCCCACCTCCGTGTGATGGGAAAAAAATAAGAAAAAACCGGTAGCACTGATTTTTTTAAAAGAACCGTCATCTATAATATATTATAAGTACCGGTTAATTAAAAATTGACACTTGTAATATAGTATAGATGCCGATTTTTTTAAAGAACCAGCACCCATACAAAACCGAGCCAATCGCTTAGTACAAATTCCAGATCAAGCCTCCGACCAATCGACCCTTCTCTCATCATCCGACCCCCTCTCCATCCCCTTATCCACTTTGCCGCCTTCCTCTCAAGCTCGTGGCGCCAGCTAGCTTTCGTTCCAGCAGTGCGGAGCCAGCGGCGGCTGTCGCTAGGGCAGCAGAGAGGGCGGGGGGAGATTCGATCAATATGACAGCGGTTTTGGAGTGCAGCACCGCCGTTGACGACGCCACCGAATCAAGAGCCCCTCTCTTTCTCTCAAGTTGTCCTCCTATCCATCCGCCACCCCTCCTCCTCTCCACCTGCCCCCCTCCTCCTCTCCATCCGGTGACGGTGGCGGTGGTGGACAAGGCTGGGGCGAAGAACGAGGTGACAGACAGCTAAATGGTGAGTTGTATGGAAAATTTTTCTGTATAAGAGTTTCTTAATTAATAAATCAAAAAAGATTTATTTTTTAAGTTAATCTTAGTTAGTCATATTCCAATAGATCTCCTCGTTTTCCATGCCAATATTATATCAGTTGATTCTACACTATTGGGCACGTACAGCCTTCATCATCTCCAGTCCTCTCCCATAGGAACTGAACCAAGAGAGCGCTACAAGACGGAGCACCTGGAGGCAGCAGTCCTGAGAGAACCCATGCTGTGATGTGTTTTAGAATTATTCACCAAAAAATATGTTGACATCATATCATATCCATCCATAGAGTAAATTTAGAAACTAGCCTGCACCTATGCTAATATATAAACAGTCGCAGAGCCAATGGCCTCATTATATATGTATGGACGAATAAGAGTATTTCCCAGTGGCTGAACACTTTTTACAAGCATCAATGGCATTCGACAATGAAGCTAAGCTCCGTGGTGTACAAGCACTATACTCTCGTGGATCACCTGTTGTAACTCTTTGTTAGAAATATATAATGCAAAATGTCATGAGCACAAATATATGCATATTGTGAGCATCAACCGAATTTTACAGATCAGAAGTTTAATAAACATGCCGCCGGATCAGCAAAAGTTGGCAGAGAGACATGCATTATCATTTATACCTTTTTGCATACAAACTAATTTTCTTTTCTTAAGTATCTGTGGTGAATGTGCATGCTGCAAGAGGTGCGACAATGCCTCGTACAAACCAATATTTTGTGGACAGTGATTAAGTAATTTTCAAGGAGGCAATATTGGAATTGTTCCCCTATGAGATCTCCCTACTTGTGATAAGGAGTACAAAATGAAAGAAGGTAATCTTTCGCAAGGACCAACTTGTATTTGTAACATTTTGTTAAACAGTAGTTATAATCTTACAATCAACTTTCTTTTCCTAAAAAAAGAGTAAATTTCATAAAACACTCCAAATTTTTTGAGTGGAAGACAAATTTAAATATCCAATTCTTTTTGGCAAGCAGGCTAAATGGATGTTTGAAGAGTCAGATTTGAAAATATTGTTAGAGATACTCTAAGGGACGTAGGAGGTGTATCTATGCGACATATCTCAATCATGTTTTCCAAGCTTTCACTACGGTAGGAATAAGATATACACGGTTTTCCTAATTAACCTCCTGCAAAAATCATCATTTTTATGGACAGGTTCTTACAAAACTTCATAGAAAATAGGGTGATTTTTAGAAACAGTTATGGTAATGGAAGGCCTATAAAAATTAACTTTTATCTTGAAAATTGGAGTACTACTAAAACTAAAAGCAATTGCTACTATTTCATATGAAGTTGGATGACAACAAACTTTATATGTAAATTTTATCTCTCGACGAGATTTACAATTTTATAGTTGACTTTTTTTTTCATTCGGGATCATTTAGGGGCTTAAATATCCATTACAAGGTCCCATATCTATTTTTAAAATGAATATTTTAGTTTTCAAAATGACCTAGGACAAAGACATGTTCTAGATCCAAATTGTAGAGCTCGACAACGACGACAAGATCTAGAACTTTGCGTGGTTGAATGTTTTTCTATTTCAGATTGTTTATATGCCAAAATATTTATTGCGAGCTCTGGTATCTTGTTTCACAGATGGTTCTTTATGAAGTCCAAGCTTTGAAAATTTATTGGAAATTCATATTAGGTTCGATTGAGGTAAATCAAAGTTTTCTGAGATCCTTATAATATTTTCTTTAATATGACTTAGTAAATGATTAGGTCAATTTTTTAGTATTTTTATTCACTAGTGTAAACATACATAAAAATCATTTTTTTCAATGTTTCTCTTAAGAATACTGTCCTAACATAAAGAATGATAATCTTTCATATAAATACCAATAATGATAAATTTTATATGAAAAATTGTAGTTCTCAATGAGCTAGCTTTGTAGTCGAACTGGTTTCATGTTAGATCGTTTAGGGCCCCAAATGTTTGTTACAAGCTCTCAGATGTATTTTAGAAAATTCTTGAGTTTGAGTTTTTCAAACGAGCTTGGATTGAGATATCCTTTGTATGATAGAAGATTTACAAGTTTGGAGTAGATGACTTTTTCATTTGTTGTCATTAAGAGCTCAAAATATGTGTTACAAGAGTGTTTTAGAGAGTTCAAGTTAACAAAATAGCATCTATTACATAATTATAAACTGATTCACAGGTGGGATAATAAAGATGCTGCACGAGGAGTGGGAGGTCGCGGGTTCAAATCGTATATATCGCATGGACACATTTTTCAGCTTAATGTTTGCAACTAGAAAAATCAAAAATCAAAAATTGTATTTTCGCAGGCATCTCCGATCCTCTCCCGTAGGAACTGAAGCAAGAGCGTGCCACAAAGATCTTGAAGGAGCACTGCAAGCAACAGTGGTGAGAACCCATGCTATATATGATACTATTTCAGTAAATTATTGATCAAGATATGTTGCCAACATGTCCAGCCATAGACAATCAGCATTAACGACTAGTGATCCAATTGGAATTCGTTCTTCTCCCACTTGTGATAAGGAGTAGTACTTGTGAAAGGAAAAATGGAAGAAGGTAATCGTTCGCAAGGACCAACTTGTTTTTTAACCTTTTGTTAAACACTATAGTTGGGAGAATTATTGCTCTGTAACGGTCCCCCGATCGAACAACAAATATCGGGCTCTCCTCATGCTACATATATTTCTTTCTTTTTGTTCACTCTGCAATGTGTATGTCCTATGGACTTCCAATCTCACTGCTTAATAAGTAGTACCAGTATAGGTGTACCGTGTACAAGTACAGCACAACTTTTCTAATGAGCTTTAAACGGATTTTTCTTCTAAACTATTTATCCAATTTACGATCCGATTACAGTGTTATATTTGTTACAATTAAATCTTTTAAACAAGATCTAATATGATTATATTGGGATAAAAATATACATATGTTTCAGTTGTCCAATCTTAATGTTTCACATATGAGAAATATGTGTTCCAACTAGAATTCCACTTTGTTACATATTTTATGCTTTTGTGTTACAATGGATTTTT